ACATAGGAATGGGGCTAATGTTGGAGGCTATTTTATGTGGACGTTGATGGATGATTATGAGTGGGCAATTGGTTATTCTTTGAAGTATGGACTTTATTCTGTGGACCGTACGACGTTGGAAAGAAGACCTAGGGCATCTGCCAATTGGTACAGAGATTTCTTGAAAAAGACGAAGCAAAGAACTAGAACTTCATCTTCGTTTAAGGGAAGATCTAAATTATTGCTAAAGCCAGAAACGGCACAGCCAAAATATGAATGATTCGCGATTCATGATTATATGGACATATATTTTTGATTATTTTTTATTCATTGCTGAAGCAAAAGGCATTCAGGATCATGTGATCGATAGTAGTATGGATGTTTATAAGGGATTTCTTGCAATGTTTGTGTTTGAACTAGAAACTTATCCATATGGGTCATGGAGAAGTATCGGGTTGAAGAATCCTGGTGATACATTTCAACTACTGGTTGGAATTGGAATGGATTCCAACATTTTATTGTTGTATGATGATCAATATATTGTTCGTGTCTCTGGCTTTCAAGGACTCTGAATGTGAGAGGCTTGAAAATAGATGCTGTTTTCCATCCATGAAATCTGTCAAATTGGTTACCATGGTAGAGAGCCTGCTGGTGCTTGATTGGGATCATGATTACTTCAGTCCTGCTTTTGATGACTGCCAGAGATTGCATTCTGATTATTTTTCAGATGGATATCCCGGGAAATTCAAGAATAAAAGTATAACCAAGCAACCAGAAACAATCTAGTTAACTATTGAAACATTTTTTTTGTCACTCCCTCTATCCCGAAATGATTTTCCAGTTCCTCGGTTCTTTTGTTTAGTACAATAAACATGACAACCATTTTGGGCGGAGAATAGTTCTTTTTGTCAAAGTATATAAGTACTTTGGGCTCCCATCTCAAAACCAATTGGCAATGAATGGGGTGCCCTTTGACACTTATAAACAGGTGACAAATCCTTTACGACACCGATGTGAGATTCTTTATCCCAACACCCTCCCTCAAGTCCAATGGGGTTCCACAATACAACATAATTCACCAGATATACTGCTGAGCCAATACACAATCCCGTACATACAGGTACATATTCCGGATATACTGCCAGGTCAATCAACAAGCCCACCCGTGCGCAAGGAAGTGATTGGCACAAGCCTAAGGCAAACGGGTCAAAGCCCGCCATAGTTATCACAGATACACAGATCGTGGGCTCTGGTACCATGTTAAAGTCATCATGGGCTCCCGTCTCAAAACCAATTGGCTATGAGTAGGGTGGTCTTTGGAACTTATATACTAAGTCACTTCTCTTCACGGTGACGATGAGGGACAGATTTTACAACTTAACACTTTTAGAGTTTTGTTTTCCACTAGCAACTTTGAGAATGCAATAGTTTGCAGTGTAGTTTATGCAACTCTTTTATCCTGCATCCTCAAGTATCTTTGAAATTATGCTTGATTTCTTTCTTTCATTAATGCTTTTCCATAATTGAAGGAGCAACAGGATCTAATTTGTTGGATTTTGTAGCTCATGTTAACATAGTTATCTTAAGTTTGTTATTCAATACTATTAATGTAAATTGTCAACTTCCCTCCTTTCTATGAAATAGAGAGAATCTTTGAAAGTTAACACGGATTATGCTTTGTACCCGAATAATCAAATAAGACTCACTCTCAAATATTGGTGAAAACTAGCATTAACTGTAAGTAAATCAATCCTAACGCAGCGCAATAAACACAGACTGATTTCATGCCAATATCAATTTGTAATCTATGAATAATATAAATAGTTCAGAATTGTGTACCTTTAACAGCTAATCCAGCAATCACGATCAATACATGGTGAAGGTTGATCATAAAACTGTTCAAATATCCAGCTTCTAACGGTATCCACACGAACAACGGTATCCACATGGGGAAGTTTGATCACAAAACTATTCCAATGTCCAGTTTTTAATGGTATCCACACGAAGAATTCTTGGGAAACAGACACAAGGCACGACTAGTTCTCTGGATTATAACTAGGGTTTATGGAACCGACAGATTAATTCTAGAATTTGTGTCAGTGACTTATTTATATAAGTCTATGGGTTTAGATAATTACCCTAAAGCCCATGACTTATTTATTAATAAATTCTTATGATTAATTTATCACATAAATCAATCCCTTAATTATTCATTAATTTATCACTTTTTTCTTGTAGCGTTCAGGCTCCAATCGACCTTCATTCCAGAAGCAATGAATCCGTCAGGGATGATCTAGAGATTGCCAACTGAACTGATCTTCTCTACCAAATAGCACGAGGTTTCTCCGCTTAATCAAATTCAATCCAGAAACAGATTTCCAAGACTAATAGTTCCACATCTCCAACTAAAAAATAGTGTTCGGAGTCCGATATGTTTCTTTGAGGATTAACTGTTGTATGTCCATGTCAGGGTTCGAATTTGGCTCATAATGAAATTGACACAACACCATTAACTTTATCTAATTTAAACGAATTGGAAAACATTGTAAAAGTGGCTTCGTATTTGACTCATAATTAAATTGACACAACACCATTATCAGTTGGACCAACTGCTTGTTAGTAAATTTAACTCTATCAAATTAAAATGAGTTGGAAAAGAGTGTAACAAAGTCGCCTGTAATGACTTTTACTTTTTATTTTTTTTTCAGAAAATTTAGCCAAAAAAAAAATTGAGGCAGGTTCCAATATATATATATATATATATATATATATATATATATGGGAGCGACTACAGTCCAGTCGACTAAACCATTCAGTCAAACATATCAGCCGTTGGTTGATAAAGGAACATTTGTAACCATTAGACTAAGAAAAGACATACAATAAGAAATATAAAGCCACCTACACAATATAATTTGCAAACTAACTTGTATAGCAGGTTGCCGATGTTAATTCTTATCATCAAAAAATTCTTCCACTTTAATCCCTTATTCTGGTATACGATCAAGAGAAGGAACAAATATTTTAAACAAAAAAAAAAAGACAATGGGATTATATAGAAAGAAAAGGGAAGAAAAATTTCGAGAAAGATTAGCCTTTCTTCCAATTAATCTATCAGTAGTCATACATATATCAGCACTCTCTCTTCTCTGCCTTCTCTGGAAATACACTATCACACCATAGAATTGAAGTGGAGGGAAAGCTAGAACGGGGAGGCAAATGAATCTCAGCGAGGAAGTTAGGACGAAGCACAAGCGTGCACTCCTCAAATTCTTTGACCAAATCTAAATTAAATGAATGAATATCGAGCTAAGAAAAGATATTGGCACTATGATTAACAAACAAAAAACGTCATCTGATTATGAAGTAGTCTCATTTTTACAATCACCGAGATGGAGTCGATCTTGCTCGCCGGCTTCTACCAAACCCCGGTGAGTATGTGGCTCTGTGCAGTCGCTATGCGATTCAATGTTAAATGCAAAATACTCGAAGGAAGGGGAACAAGTCCTTGTCGGGATTGATGGTCCCTTTATTTAATGAACAGTAACTTCTAAGGGAACATTGAATCAGAAAATGGTGATGCTTCAAGAGGAAGAGAGGCCATGGATGTTGATCCTAAAGGAACAGATGGAAAATATCTCACCTGAGAAATTGGAAGCTTTTAGCACCGCACTTGGAAAGCAGAGACACCCACAATCACACTCCATGTCGACCAAATAACAATGGGTGAAATAGAGAAAGTAGTGAACATTGGATTTTACTCAATTGGGTAGTTGTTCTTGTTTTAGTTAAGATTCAATTTGTTGATTTTTCAGGTTTTGGATGCTAAAGTTTGTGTGATGTTCTGAACATTGGAGAACTACTTTCAGTTCCGACGTTCTTAGTCCATGACATTCTTAAGACAAAATGTTTAAAGATTAGAGAAATTTCATTTTTATAAGTTTGGAAATTTTGAGGATTGAAGAATTATTTGGAAATTTTGAGGATTAAAGAATTATTGTTTGATTTAATTACGTAATATTCTTAAGAATATGATGGTTATTAATAGCTACACGCACATAGGTTAATTTTGTATTTATCCAAGTAACTACTATGATTAGCAGGTTACTAATTAATTTAGGATTTGCTAGTATACTCCTCATCCCATAATAATCTATGAATGACTAATTTCTGATTGGTTAGTCATACCTAAAGGATTCAGTCAAAAATTAATGACTGGACCATAGAATTTCCCTATATATATATATATATATCATACTATATTAGAAACAAAAACCTCCCTTTCAAACACCTCATATGATTGCCACGTGGCATGTAGAAAATACTAAATTGCTCTTTTGTCTAACCATAACTAAATTACTAAATCTCCCTTTGCACTTTACGTGACACATTTTTTTTTTAAATTTTTTCTTTATGTTTCATTCAACTAGAGTGGTTTTTTAAATTGAATTGATCAATTAGGTTTTTTGTTACAAAGTGTCAATTTTGTTTTAAGCATATACCCTTCGGATGAAACTTATTACAAAGCTATTAAAAATCTCCAAAACTAAGTATTGATTTGGCACGACCAATGGAGAACATCAATAAATCATCTTACTAATATTTAAATTTATTAGGATGCTTTTATATTTTATCTAACATTTACTTCAAAACATATATTCGATTAAGCTATTTATATTTAATAAGTAACACTTATAAAATATTTCTAAAACATACATGGCGAAATACAATTTTTATTTTTTTTTGCGAAATACAAATATTTCTATGATCACACTTATAAAATATTTCTAAATCCTTCAAAAATTTCTAAAATATATCGCTCCAAATACAAAATTTTATTTTTTTCAAATATAAACATTTCTAAGATCTACAGATAGACTGGGCCAGGGTCGCGCATTGCGCGACCAGACATCACTAGTATATATATATAGGGAAATAACCCATCACCTTAAGAGTATCCCAAATCAAAACAATTTCCGCTGTCGAGGAGGGAGAAGAATTGAGCAAAACAAAAAAAAAAAATGTCCGATTTCTTGCCAGAAGATTTGTTGATCGAGGTGCTCCAAAGACTACCTTTCAAGCTCCCCTTTCGACTAAAGACAGTGTGCAAATCATGGTACACTCTGATCACCAATCCTCAATTTATTTCCACCGTGATCAACAGCCCAGGTGCCCGAAAGAAGTTCCAGATTCTTATTGGGAAACACTACGTCAATTCCTTGGGCCAAGAACAACAGAGTGCCTTCATACGTGAATGTGATGATGATGGTGGATTATGTAATGCCGCTACGTTATCTGAGATTGAGGACTTCTCCAAACGCAACATATACTGTGGTTGGCAGCGCGAAAGGGTTGATTTGCCTCCGCGGTGATTACTTTGAGCGTCTCCACACTGATATAATTATATGGAATCCTATCACTCGGAAATCCCTGATTGTTCATCCCCCCAAAGTTCATGTTTATCCATTGGTATACGAATTTCCGACAGTGGTTTGGGTTTGGATTTGGATTTGATCATGTCAATAATGATTACAAGTTGATCAGGATCATGTTGGGTGACAGCAGAATCGTCGATGCCGTTGATGTCTACAGTTTACGCACTGGCAATTGGAAAAGTATCAGTCATCATCTGTTAGCAAAAGAACCCTTTGGGTTATAAGGAAGAGATCTTTTAAGTGATAGGTTTAGGAAGTGAAAATGGAAGAGAAGGAAATTTTGGGAGAAAGGGAGCTTTACTACTTTGTAGTAAAAGGAAACAAGGTGGAGTGTGTTAAGCTTTTAGTTTAAGGTTTCTCACAACTCTCTACACATACTTACATTAGAGGGTTAACTCCTATTTATAGGAGTGCATGGAAGATTCTACACTCTTTCAAGATGTTTCTACTCCTTCTAAATATCTACATATTTTATTCTAATATCTAGACTTTTCCTTACTAATATCTAGATATTTCTTCTAGATATTTTCCATGAATTATTCTACATACTCTTGATATTTATGTAGAACATTTCTAGAACTTTCTACTTCTAGATATCTTCTTATCTAGACAATTCTTCATTGGACTTGGGCTTAGGATTAAACATAAAGATTCATGGTCCAAGTTAATAATTTTGGATAACCCAATATTAATTGGACCAAATTAAGGTTACTTACTAACACCCCCCCTTTAAACTTGATTTGGTGACTCCAAGCATCATCCTCAATCTTGCAAAGTCTTCTCCTTTGAGTGGTTTGGTGAAAATATCTGCAACTTGATCACGTGATCTTGTATGCTTCAACTCAACGATCCTCTTGGCCACACATTCCCTTATGAAGTGGTACCTTGTATCAATATGCTTGCTTCGATCATGGTAGACTGGATTCTTTGCCAGATCGATGGCTGACTTGTTGTCAACATATATCTCTGTCGCTTCTCCTTGTGGCATACTTAACTCCTTCAACATGCTCCTGAGCCAGATAGCATGACATACACATGATACTGCTGCTACGTACTCGGCCTCGCATGATGACAAGGTGACTATAGGTTGTTTCTTAGAAACCCATGTAAAGGCAGTGTTGCCAAGGAAGAATGCAAATCCAGTAGTACTTTTCCGTTCGCTCAAGTCTCCAGACCAGTCACTATCACTGAATCCCACAAGCTTGAAGTCATCACATGAGGAATATAACAAGCCAAGATCAATAGTACCTTTGATGTAGCGAAGTATCCTCTTGGCAGCCTTCAAGTGTGTCGTAGTAGGTGCTTCCATAAATCGACTGATAAGTCCCACAGCAAAGAGAATATCAGGCCTTGTGCATGTTAAATAACGTAGGCTTCCAACAAGGCTCTTGAAGTGAGTTGGATCTACAACATCTCCTTCATCATCTTTTGAGAGCTTTGCTCCATATTCAATGGGGGTGGCTATTGGCTTGCACTTCTCCATGCCAAATTTCTTAAGAACTTCCTTAGCGTATCTTTGTTGAGAGATGAAGATTCCATCATCCAATTGCTTGACCTCGATGCCAAGATAATAGGACATAAGTCCTATATCAGTCATCTCAAACTCTTTAGTCATTGCCTTCTTGAAATCTTTGATCATGCTAGGCGAATTTCCTGTGAAGATGAGATCATCCACGTACAAACAAACAAGCAACATATCTCTATTGCCTGAAAACTTCACATAGAGTGCATGTTCACTTGGACATTTCTTGAAACCATTTTCCTGAAAATAGTGATCAATTCTTGTATTCCAGGCTCTTGGTGCTTGTTTCAAACCATATAAAGCCTTCCTTAGCCTGAGAACTTTATTCTCATCGCCTTTGACCACATATCCTTCTGGCTGCTCCACATATATTTCTTCTTCAAGAAAGCCATTTAAGAATGCAGACTTTACGTCCATTTGATGGATTTTCCATCTACTTTGGGCAGCGATAGAAATTACTAACCTGATAGTCTCCAAGCGAGCAACAGGAGCAAATACCTCTTCGTAGTCAATGCCATGTCTCTGCTTGTAGCCTTTGGCGACAAGTCTTGCTTTGTACTTCTCAACTTCTCCTTTAGCGTTCTTCTTTGCTTTGAACACCCACTTTACTCCAATTGCTTTGTGGCCTTTTGGAAGAGAGGCTAGCTCCCAAGTTTGATTCTTTTCTATGGATCTTATTTCCTCATCCATAGCGTGTCTCCACTTCTCGTTCCTTGCTGCCTCTTCGTAACCTAGAGGTTCACAGTCAGCATAAAGGCAGAAGAGTGTGAGAGCCTCTATGCGTTCTGTTTCCTCATAGATCTCTTGTAGGCTTTTCGTCCTTTGTGACTCTTCATTCAAAGGTGAACGTGGACTTTGAGGTTGCTTAGTATCTTCACCTGCATCACTACTGTCATCATTGTATTTGTGGATGACAGGAAGGAAGTCGTAGCTTTCACCACCTTCAATATTCCAGTCCCAGGTTCCTTTTTCATCAAACTCTACATCTCTACTCACAATAACTTTGTTTGTGACTGGATTGTAGAGCTTATAACCTTTTGACTGTTTGTCATAGCCAACAAAGACATGCTTCTCGCTTCGATCATCAAGTTTGGACCGCTTTTGGCTTGGTACGTGGGCATATGCTATACTCCCAAATACTCGTAGGTGATTTACTGTGGGCTTTGTCCCATTCCATGCTTCTTGTGGAGTCTTGTCTTCTAGACTCTTCGTCGGACATCGATTTACTAGGTATACTGCACAATCAACTGCTTCAGCCCATAACTCCTTTGGCATCTTCTTGCTCTTTAGCATGCTACGAACCATATTGAGAATGGTTCTATTCTTCCTTTCAGCAACTCCGTTCTGTTGCGGAGAGTAAGGAGCGGTAAGGAATCGTCTAATCCCATGTTCTTCACAGAATTTGGTGAATTCACTTGATGTGAATTCTCCACCTCTGTCAGACTTTAAGGCTTTGATTTTCAAGCCTTTCTCTTTCTCCACCACAGCCTTAAATGTCTTAAAGGCATCAAAGGATTGTGATTTCTCCTTCAAAAAATACACCCAAGTCTTTCGAGAGAAAAATCATCAATAAATAGAATGAAGTAGGTGTTCTTACCATGGGATGGCGGAGAGATAGGACCACACAAGTCTGTATGGATGAGTTCTAAAGGCTCCTTAGCTCTTGATGTTGATTCTTTTGGGAAAGCACTCCTCGAATGCTTCCCAAGTAAGCATCCTTCACATACTTGATTGGGCTGATTGATAGGAGGTATTCCTTTCACCATGCATTTGGCAGATAACATTTTCAAGTCACCAAAATTTAAATGACCATACCTCATGTGCCAAATCCACGAATCATCCTTCAAGCATGCTTTCATGCAGTTCTCATGTTGAATGTTCAACAAGAACATTCTATTACTTGTCATTGGCACAATGGTAATCAATTTTCCTTCGGATCCTTAACTATGGCACTACGATCTTTCAAATGAATATCGTAATTTTCTCGAAGTTGTCCCAAGCTCAAGATATTACTCTTAAGACTTGGAACATAATAAACTTCTGAGATGTATTGGTGACTTCCATCTTTAGCAAGGATTAGTATCTTACCTTTGCCTTCAACCCTTGCTCTAGAATCATCTCCAAACATCACGCACCCTTTGGTTGATTCCATGTCTACAAACAACCTTTTTTCCCCAGTCATGTGGTTACTCGCAGCGGAGTCAAGATACCACGTCTTCTTCTCTCCTTCGTCCTCGTGTCTTGCCATTAAGAGAGTGAGTTGAACTTCATCTTTAACCTCCATAAGATTGGCTTTCTCTTTTACTTGACTAGAATTCCTACACTCACTTGCATAGTGACCATATTCCTGGCAATTAAAGCATTGGATTCGAGATTTACCTCCTTTCTGAAACTTCATACCTCTTCCACGACCTCTTGTAGATTGAGAACCTTTGTTATTGTCATCCTTGGTGGATTGAACGTAGCCACCTCGAGCCCTTCCTCGTCCACGTCCTTGACATCCACTATTGCCTCGTCCAAGGCCTCTGCCACGTCCAAAGCCTCCATCTCTTTCTTTGAAAGAGAGTTTTGTGTAGAGAGCTTGCTCCAAAGATTCTTTGGGCCTTCTCTTCTTTAGTTTCTCTTCATGGGCTACTAAAGTACCCATGAGTTGATCAATGGTCATAGAGTCAAGATCTTTTGACTCCTCTATTGCTACCACAATATAATCAAAGCTTGGTGTCAAAGAGCGAAGAATTGTTTCTATTACTCTTGTGTCACTCAAGCTTTCTCCATTCCTCTTCATCTCATTTGACACTTTCAAGACACGAGAACAATAATCCGAAACAAATTCGGACTCCTCCATTTGTAAAGCTTCAAATTCTCCTCTAAGAGTTTGAAGACGTACCTTTTTAACCTTCTCAATGCCTCTATTAGCATTCTCTAGAATATCCCAAGCCTCCTTTGATCTAGAAGCATTTGCCACCTTCTCGAACATGGAATCATCTAGACATTGATGGATAAGTGAAAGAGCTTGTTGATCCTTTCTCCTTGCTTTGTTGAGTTCCCCCCTTTGGGCAGGAGTCAAAGAAGCCTCATCTAGAGGTTTCTCATAACCTTTCTCAACAATCTCCCAAACCTCGTGAGAGCCTAAGATCGCCTTCATTCGAATGGACCACTTACCATAGTTTTCTTTGGTAAGTTGAGGGAATTGGAAAGAGATCATTCCATTTGCCATCTTACTTCAAAGCTGGACCAACACCAGCTCGATACCGGTTGTTAGCAAAAGAACCCTTTGGGTTATAAGGAAGAGATCTTTTAAGTGATAGGTTTAGGAAGTGAAAATGGAAGAGAAGGAAATTTTGGGAGAAAGGGAGCTTTACTACTTTGTAGTAAAAGGAAACAAGGTGGAGTGTGTTAAGCTTTTAGTTTAAGGTTTCTCACAACTCTCTACACATACTTACATTAGGGGGTTAACTCCTATTTATAGGAGTGCATGGAAGATTCTACACTCTTTCAAGATGTTTCTACTCCTTCTAAATATCTACATATTTTATTCTAATATCTAGACTTTTCCTTACTAATATCTAGATATTTCTTCTAGATATTTTCCATGAATTATTCTACATACTCTTGATATTTATGTAGAACATTTCTAGAACTTTCTACTTCTAGATATCTTCTTATCTAGACAATTCTTCATTGGACTTGGGCTTAGGATTAAACATAAAGATTCATGGTCCAAGTTAATAATTTTGGATAACCCAATATTAATTGGACCAAATTAAGTTTACTTACTAACATCATCTGCCTCCCCGCGATCTTCGTATAAGAAGAGGGGCTTGTGCGTTTATGAACGGCGCACTCCATTGGGTTTGTTGCCTTCAGGGTTATAAGTGTGGAGTTTTGCTTTTCGATTTGTCAAACAATGAATTTGAGGTGATGATGTTGCCAAACAGGATTCGGGCGGATATGGCCGATAGTATTGATGTTTACAAGGGATTGTTGGCAATTTTCCTGTTTGACAGCTACGGGGTTGGTATCCCTTTCGAGTTTTCCGTATGGGTCATGGAGACTTACCCAGATGAAGAATCCTGGACTAACATTGATCTTAGTAACGACATATACTTGAGTCCATTATTCGATGTATTTCCAACCTTCTCGCTGTCACTGGCAGGAATGGGAACGAATTCTATTGTATTATTGCTGGATGATAATCAATTATTGGAAGTCAAGGAGTCGGAGGGTGGGAAGTTTGAATCTAGCCTGTGTTTACCATCAATGAAATGGTCATCTGTTAAGTTGGTTACCATTGCACAGAGCCTAATGTTGCTTGACTGGGGTCTGTGATGCTTCCGCTAAGTGCCACCATTTGCATTCCAGTTACTTCTCAGGTGAATATTCAAGATAATGTATGACCATCAATTAACCAGAAACAATATTGCGATTCGCCCGTAGTTGTAGTATAACAGGCCTGTGGAGGATCATTCTTTCGGAGATTTTGTTTACCGCAAGCCACTTTGCGGTTTGATACCGGTATACTCTACTGATACGATTTGTTGTTCTTCTTTTTTTGTAACTCATATGAGAATGCAAAGTTTGCAATATTTTTTGTGCGATTCTTTGATTATAGTATCCTTCAACTGACGCATGATTTCTTTCTTAACCTCATTATTTCCGCATTCAATCTTGCTGCATAAATTGATATCAACAGTATCTAATTAGTTAGCTTAGTATATGTAGGTCCGTCTATCATTCATCAAGTAGTTGTTAGATGAATGGTTGTAAGTTTGCATGTTATTCCCTAATTTTTATCTATGCAACAGAGGATTTTACTGAAACTAATTGCGATTCCGTGTCTACCTGAAGAATCAGAGAAGACTTAACTCCGTGTTGCTGAATGGTGATAAAAAAAAAAACATTCACCTCGTATTTGTAAATTCCATTGGCTTATGGATCCGAGGCCAATTCTGTCACCATAAGTTGCTTACCCTGAGTAAAGTTGAACTCTAGCCTAGTTTAGAACTTATTCAGTTTATACAAAACAAGGAAAGTTATTGGAAGCTTGCTAGTTCTGATCATAATTCTGTTTGGTCTCTCTTGAATTCCGCATTTAAAAACCAAAAAAAACTAAAGAAAAGAAAATTTCAAGTTAGTGCGCAATCGTCACCTTTATTATCGAGATAACTCAATGACCAAGTCGACAGAGATGCAACATTCTTACAGTAAAAACACCGTTAGACTATTGAAATCTCAGTGGACAGTGCCCATCCTTGACCTTTCTTTTTCTAAACTGTTAGTCGGTTGTAAAGATCCTTGATAAACATTCCCTCCGGTCCTAAGTATTAATTTGTGTCTCATAATTAGGACCAAAAAGAGTACGTTAAAGTTCTTAAACCTAGTCCAACGAAACTTTCATAGTCAAGTTGATCATCAGCAAGAGTAGTCTTATTTATAAAGAAATTAACTTGCGGTTTCTAACTCGGCTAGTGTCTCATATTCGATATCCGATTGTCATTGTCGGGCACTAGGAAGCCGGCAACCAAGTCGACCATAATTTGGAGCTGGTTAATTGCAAGTCCACAGCAACCTATGGTAATTCGATTTTACTCTTACAGAGACAACACCCTCGTAGAATATAGGGTAATTGTGTTGTAATTTCTTGTCGTTACTGTACATCTAATTTTCACACTTCATTTTAAATATAATATCTAGTAAAAGTTTTCTTATATTACTACTAAGCAATCTTTAGCTATGATGATTGTACTGTTTGGTCGCACTTACTCGCAACTTTTCTTCCTTCACCACAAATGAATGAGTCTCTCTTTCTTAGAAAGAATTTGTTCTAGATAATCACTGTAGAATAACCACTAATTATTTTAATTATTGATAGATAATCACAGTGGAATTACCACTGATTAGTATTGAGGAATTAACCATAATATGCTAATTTAACCAACCACCAATCAGTATATTATAATTTCAAAATCTTGTCAAATCTAATGAAAATTTCACTATAAATATGCTATAAACCTCCACACTAGTTACCACCACCACCAACAAGAAGAAGAACTCCTAGAGAAATTACAGCTTTTGAGATGGCAAAGTTCCTCATTGTGTTTGTTGCTCTTATTGCTTTCACTCTTGCTCCTGGTATTTCTTTCTCCATCAATACTTGAATTAACTATTTATCATGGAATTTTTAATGATTACTTTCTACTAATGTTGCTTTTCCCCCTTTTTTTTCTTTGATTATGACAGTGGAGAAAATGATTCCTTTGGTCCATGCTGAAAATTCTTGCCAAAAATATATTCCGGGAGAATGTGATGTTACCACTCCGACTCACTGTGAGGTTGAATGTTTGGCTCAAGTTCCGCGAGGAAGTCTCCAGAGTTTTAAATGTGAAGTTAAGGGTGATCAGAAAAATTGCGTTTGCACTTATCATTGTTAAAAGAAAAAAAAATCATTTGATTAATGTTGTAAACTCCTATGATATATGTTTGACATCGAATAAATGAAACCACACTTTCATTAAATATAATAATCTATCAACTATATTAATAATATATCTTTTGAGAAAAATAAAGTTATATATCAAACATATGTGGCGAAATTCATTTTTTTTATTATTATTATTAGTGTTGTATACCTTCATGCATTCATTCCAAATAGACGAATCCCTCAGAAATCACGACTATAACCACAAATGTATTTAGACGGTGAAGATTGAAGAACTCCGACACAATTAAAAGGGATAATATGAGCATAACTATGGGGAATGCGTATATAATTAATTAGTTCAATTTTATAAGTCCAAAAAGATGATGAAAAATCAGATACTTAAATTCTGGGGACGCAGTGACTATCCAGAATTCGGTGCCCTTCAATGTAAAGATGGTGTGAATTCGAGCGTTTGGAAATTGATTTAAATGATAGATTATGCGATGCTTCTACATTGGGTGGTAAGCATGGAGTTCTGTTTTTTGATTTGTCAAATCAAGCATTTGAATTGATTATGCTTCCACAACAAATTCATGATTACGCGATCGATGCTACTATCGATGTTTATGAGGGATATCTTGCAATTTTTCTGTTTGAACGGACAATGTGACTAGCAAGTTATCCATATGGGTCATGAAGAATTATCGGGTTAAAGAATCCTGGGCTAGGATCCACAAAATTGATCTTGGTGACTCATTTCTGCAGTTGGTAGGAATCGGAATGAATTCCAATATTTTATTGTTGAATGATAATCACTTGTTAGTCTCTCTGGATTTCAAGGACTCGGACAGCGAGAAGATTGAAACCGGATGCTGTTTACAATCAAAAGAATGGTCATCAGTTAAGTTGGTTTCCATGGCAGAGAGCCTCGTGTTGCTTGATCGGGATCATGATTACTGCAGTCCTGATTTTAATGACTGCCGGAGCTTGCATTCTGATTATTTTTCAGATGTATATCCTGGTAAATTCAAGAACAAAAATATAACCAAGTAGCAAGAAACTATCTAGTCAACTATTGAAACATTTTTTTTCCGTTACTCCCTCCATGGCGAAATGACTATCCAGTTTTTACTTTTTGTTCAGTACAAAAAACAGGGAGTTTTTGTTTCTAGTAAGCATTGTAGAAGATGGCATTTTTACGGTTGTGTTTATCGCTATCTACTTTGAGAAGGCGAGCCGTGTATTTTCTGCATTTGTTATATATGTCATACATCCTCAAATCTGTTTGAAATGATGTGTGATTTCTTTCTTTCATTCTACTTTCTGCATAGTTAAAGTGAGAGCAACAGGATCTCCTTATTTCTATAAAATAGAGAATTTTATTGAAAGTTAAAACCGATTGTCGTGTACCGGGAAAAATCAAGGTAAGTCTCGCTGTGATGCATAGATGCAAAAACTAACATTAACATCCTAGCTAATTGCAGTAGCATTGAGATATTTTGGTTATAGGCCATTCTGTAAGGATAGGTTGTTTTCCTGATGGTAGTTGAATGCCAGCCTAGTTTAGCCAAGCCTCTTCCTTCCCTCCACCACCTATTTCCCGTGGTTCGAGCACCAAGAGAGCCGCCTCACTTGAACAATTCAATAAGGCACGTACTCTTGCAATCCTCAATTGACTTCCCCATAAACATATGCGAAGTTATTACTCTTGTTCTTTAGCGCGAGAATATGTACCTGGAACGAAGTTGATAATATACATGGGTACGGAACGAAGTTTGCCTACAATTAGCGCTGGTCTTTTTGAACCGCCGTTCTGGTCGAACCGATGATCCGACCCGAACCCAAATTAAAATTTCGGCTCGGATCGATTCGGATAAAAAATTTTAAAAGGTGGAATGGTTCGAATCAGTTCGAGTCAAAAGAATATCCAAATTGAACCGAATAAACCCGAAACTAAAAAGTAAATAATTATATTTTAATAATGTTGTTGACTGCCTCCGACCACCTTTGACCATCGCCGCCGGTGACAACTTCCGGCCACGCCAGATATTTTATTTATTTCAATGGCCGGTGATCGGCTACGGCGTGATGATGTCATCGTCACTTTTGATGACATCATCACTAGCAAAATGGTTTATTTTGGGTTAATTCGGTTCAGACCCAAAACTTAATCTGAACCGAACCGAACCGAAACTATTTGTGATCCAAAAGAAATTGACCCGCTTCTAAACCGATCCAAAATAACGGAACGGTTCGGATCGGTTCGATTTAGATCAGTTTTCTTCAAAAGAACAGTTCTACCTACAATCACCAACTCAACAAGTTTTGCTTCTACGAGATTCAGCAACTTACATGCACATCCTTCATGTAAACTGCTTTCAAATTGACAATCAAACCTCGATTTTCATGAACGGGTCCAACTGATCCTGCAGGAATTAATGATCCACCCAATAAAACGAAGTTCTATTCATGGGCTAAACCATATGTGCCATGAGCATTTACTTTTCAAGACCATATTGCATGAGTTACAAAGAAGCGCCAACTCCAAGTCTTGAACAACCCACAGGACTATCCCTATAAGCAAAATCATACCAATGCAGGGGATTTATAATTGTTCTGTGGGATATTCTTAAGCTATTGTGATAGTCATATATTTCAACGTCAATTTGGATGCAATTTGAGTGAATCGCACTCCAACTGAGAACTATCTATGGTTGAACTCAATCTGTAATCTCGATTAGCCTACTGTAAAAAGTGCAGTCTTGAGTAACTTGTCAAGAAGTTTGCAGCTTTTCTTATTGTAACAAAAAAATAAATAAATAAATAAAATTGTAGCAGATTGTTTGGCTACATTGGCATCACAAGGCTCTAAGGGCTGCAATGGTTAAATGAGCCACCGACGGGAGCT